TGATTTTTTGGTGAGAGAATTGTATTTGCCATGGTGTATTCCCGTATGTGTTGGTTTCCCTGACAATGATGTCCATCAGGGGTTCATCGAAGAATAACTCAAGCAGTCCAGTTCACTGGCATTGTTCCCCAAGTGGACAAGAGGTTTAATTCCACTTTGTGTTTCATCAAAGTCATGGGGACTGGGAACAAACTGTCCCGTCCTGCCAATCCCCGATGCGGTTTTGCTGGTGGGGTCTGGATTTTTGTACGTGGTTGTGGCTGTGCAGGTTGTGGTGGTGCAGGTTGTGGCAGTGTGGGGTAGGGTGAGGCTGGTTGTTCTGCTGAGTTCAGCCGCGTGGCTAGTAGCGTGGCCCGGTGATGGTGCCACATGGGCCGTGCCACCCTCACTATCACCACCCCTGCCCCCCTCCCCCACTGTCACCATTATACCCATCGTTACATATGTCATCTTCACTATCAGGTCGTGGTGTTGGGCAGGGATGTGCTCCCAGAGTTTCTCCTTCCTTGGAACACATATGGAACACCCACCAGACCGCATGCTACGTCGTACATACGGCGCTTCACTGGGGAATATTCACTCTCACTGTCACTAGAACTGCTTTCAATGACCTTGAAATCACTATCACTGCTATCATCAGGGTGTTGTAACGACCAAATGTTTCCCCTTTCGTCCTGGTAAGGCGAAGGTGAATGTGAACAAGCGGCACAGCACCAGAGGTCGAAGGTTGGGGTCATCTGGGTTTTCGTCACTATTTACGTTATCCTGGGCACTTTTTTCGGTAACACTCACTGAAAACCTTGAATTCACTGTCACTGACATTTTATGGCTGTTAGAAGCTATCACTTGGGAACAAAAGACCTCCAATCCGCCGAGGAGTGAGGAATTCTTACGAGAGGCATGGTGAAAATGGACTGCAACATGGCGTTTCCACAATGCACCGCTAGGTCCCCGATTTTTTTCACAGGGTGCACACGACATGAGGGCCATTCTCTCCCGTGTAGGCCTACCAGGCCTTTGGCGCGCGTTGAAGCCGCTAGAATTTGTGCGTATAAATACGTCAGAAACATTGGCTCGTAAGACGTATTTATACGTCGGAAACAGTCAAAGGGTTAAACCAGCAAATAATAGAGCCTACTAGACTGGAGAATAAACTAGACCTCATCTTCATAACAATGATGATCTGATAAGAAATGTCACCATATCAAAAACAATATACTCAGATCACAACATAATTGAGGTTCAGACATGTATGCGTGGAGCCCCAGACCGACAAAATGAGACTAGTCACGAGGGAGCATTCACCAAATTCAACTTCAATAAAAAAAAACATAAAGTGGGACCAAGTAACCAAGTCCTAACCGATTTTAAGCTGGGAAAAATTTCACTAAAGAACACAGACCCCAACTTATGCCTAGAACAGATTAACTCGGTGGCATCGATGTATGCACAAGGCTTATTCCTCTAAGAAAAAGGAGGGTAGATGTAAAATAGAAAAGAGACAGGCGCTCCCTTTACAGGCGCGGAAAAAGAATAACAGAGCGGCTAAAAGAGGTCAATTATCTGAAATGCGTAGGGAGACATGGTCAGGAAATAGAAACATCGAATTTAAAAGAAAAAAGAACCCTTTAGAGTCAGGAATGGGGAAAACTAAAAGCCATAAATAAAATCGAAAAACCCAAAGTATTTCTTCTCCTATCCCAAAATAAAAAATCGGAACAACGTCAGTTTTGGGGCCCCCCTATTAAAACAAGATGGGTCCTACACAGAGGGACAGCAAGGAATGGTGAGCTATTGTTACAAAAAACGCGATTCAAAAAAGCTTAGAGATCCAGTGATACTAAAAGGGGGAACCCCTTCTAGCACCCACCCTGTTACTGGGTTTTCGTAATGTAGTTGTATCCTTGTCCAATTATCCATTATAATTCATTGGGTTTTCAATAGTGCTTTAGGATTACAATGGTGGGTACTAACTAGAAAAAATTAAAATTTTAATAAATTTATTAAGTATATAAGTTGTCTGGGGTTATTATAAAAAGAAAATTAAACCCTCAATCAAAAAAAATCAATCTCTCGGTTCAATTTATTGTGTGAAAGCACTATCAAATTTTAATTCTTAAGTACCATAGGACATTAACATTTAATAAGATATTAAAATATGTAAAGTGGAGTTGGTGTAGTGCTTTTAAGTAGTTAGCTATGTCTAAGACTCAAATAAGATTAACAAGTGATGACAAAAATCCCCAAAAAAAAACTTCTTTACCGACTGGGGAACCCCAACAGTTGCTTTAACAACAAAAAAAGTAAGCCCAATGCATGCAATATCAAGCACTACGAAAAAAAACAGGAATGGAAATAATATAACGACATAAGTAGGGACCACAGCAGTCCTCCCCAAAAGTTACAACACTCCCATAATATGAATCTTTGTTAGTTTGGTAAACTGTGACTGTGGGAAAAAACAGGAACAGTACAAAATTAGGGCAGAAGCTATCGCTAAGGACCCGAGATTCAGAGTGTCTTGACACACAACCCAGTCAAGTCGAAAATACTAAATCTTTACAAAGTTTGTGAAAAAGTTTACGAATAACAAAAAAAATGAGGCAGACAATTGCCCCAAACCAGCAAGGAGTCTCAGCGCTCAGACAGACAATGTCCAACCAGCAAGCGGTCTTAGCAGACTCAGACGGGAAATGTCCAACCAGCAAGCGAGTTCCAGCAGACTGTCAGCAGACAAGCTGCCAACCCAGAAGCGAGTCTCTAGCGGGGACTGAAATTTCACGAGAGGTGAGGACCCCCCCCCCCTCGATCAGTGTAGCTAGTAGACAATCAGTCAAAACCCGGCAGTAAAACAGGACAAGCGATAATTCAGAGTTTGCAATCAAGCCTAACTGAGCACATTTTATAACTCCTAACAACAAAAGGGAAATAACAAAAATAAAGTAAAATAAAATAAAAAGATACATTTACGATTTAGCTTTTATCGCAAATATAAGAAATAAAAAATTAAAAATAAAAAGAAATATAATTATATATACATAATATCATTGTAACCATTCAGGGGTTGCAAAACCCCCCCCAAACACGACAGAGGGTCGCACTAGGAGTGCATTAATGTTTTTTTCCCTTATTTTGATTCTCATATCAATATTATTTCAATATAAAAATTTTAGAGTCACCTTGTCCCAAGACCCTACAATTACAGCGTCCGTCACTAGGGTATGCCCCTAGGTACTAGGGGGAGTACACAGTATCGTATATCTTTATACTGTGGTTTTATACATAGTGTGAGACAGGATTAGCGTGACAAGGGGGACGTTTAGGTCGATCATAGTAGAGAGATGCATTCCACTCTTAAGTAGGGTTTTGGAATGCGAGGCAGTATGAACATTGAGTATGAAAAGCTTTTTGGTGTGTAGGAAGGGGGGGGTTGCGGCAGGACAGTGTTGGTATGCATACCATCTCCCGCACCCAAAATACTCACTCAAACTATTGTTCCCCTCCACAACATTACTGTGAATATTAAATATAATAATTAGACATGGGCAGAGTTTTATAGTTAATATAGGCTGGAGGGTTTTTAAATTATTTACTGAATTTGACATAGCAAATAACAAAAGGTATTTGGGCATTAAAATTTCGTTAATTTAAAGTATTGATAATTATTAAAAGGGCGAGCAGAGGTCGCAAATTTCTTACAAAGACCACTTATGTGTTTTTACTAATAGAATAAGGGTTGGATTTGAGGGCCCCCCGATCGTAGCATTTTTTTTTCATAGTATTTTTGTAGGTGAGGGTTGTGGTCAGAAAAAAAAAAAGTTTAATTTTTAAATGGGGAAGTGCCCCAAAAAAAACGTCAAAATGTTCCAAGGACCCACAAGAGCTAGAGCCTTCTTCTAGTGGCTAATTTTTTTTCTTTCTTGC